TGGGGATTCGAACCCACCACCTTAGGTGTACGTGGCTGGCGCCTTAGCCGCTTGAGCCACAGGCGCCGAGCCGAAGAAAACATTTTCAACACATAGTCAAATGTGTTTACACTGTACAAAAAGTGTTTACTAATAACAAAGAAAAGCATAACACCCTCACTAACACAGGCAGCAAAGACTAATAGTTAAGAGCATGGACTATGGACACATTGCCTAGACTCACATCCTTATTCCACTATTTACTGGCTATGTGACTGCTGCCAAGTCACTTAATTTCTTTGTGACTGTTCCATAACATTGAGAAGGAGGGAATCCTCCCTAACTCATTCTACAAAGCCAGTATCACCCTTTAATAGCCAGGAATAAACGCAACAAAAAAGAAAACTGCAGATCGCTATCCCTCATCAACACAGATTCAAAAATCCTTGACAAAACACTAGCAAACCGAATCTAAGCACATTAAAAAACTAATTCACCATGTTCAAGTGGGTTTCACCCCAGGAATGAAAGGATGATACAACATATGCAAATTGATAAATGTGATTCACCATATAGACAGAATGAAAACAAAAACCATATGATCATCTCAATAAATGCAGACAAATCATTTGATAAAATCTAGCACTCTTTCATGATAAAACCCTTAACAACTAGGCACAGAAGGAACATATTTCAAAATAACAAAAGACATATATGAGGAACCCACAGTCAACATCATCCTGAATGGGGTAAAGTTGAAAGCATCTTCCCCAAGAACTGGAACAAAGCAAGGATGCCAGTTTCACCCCTTCTACTCTGCATAGTACAAGACTGAGCAATCAGGCAAGAGAAATAAATAAAGGGCATTCAAATGAGAAAAGGAGGTCAAACTATCCCTGCTTGCTAATGATATGGTCTTATAGAAAAGCCTATAGACTCCTACAAGAGACTCCTAGAGTTGATAAATTCAGGGAAGTCACAGAATTAATGAACATAAATCAGTAGCATTTCTCAGTCAGCCAGAGAATCAAATTAAGAACTCAATACCATTTACACCTGCAAATCCCCTCCCCCCCAAATATCTCTATATGGAGAACTACAAAACACTGATGAAAGAAACTGTAGAAGACACAAATGGAAAAATGCTTACAGACGGGAAGAATCAATATTATTAAAATGTCCACACTGGCCAAAGTGATTTACAAGTTCAGTACAATGCTTATCAAACTACCAACATTATTTTTCACAGAACTGGAGAAAACAATCTTAAATTTCATATGAAATAAAAAAAGAACCAGAATAGCTAAAGCAATCCTAAGCAAAAAGAACTAATCTAGAGGCATCATATTACCTGACTTCAAATTATACTACAAGGCTGTAGTAACAACACAGCAGTTGGTTACACCAGTTACAAACACTGGTATAAAAACAGACACACTGGATCAATGGAACAGAATAGATAATCCAAAAATAAAACCACATGCCTGCAACCAGCTGATCTTCCACAGAGCAGATAAAAATATACACTATGGAAAGGACATCTTCTTTAATAAATGATGCTGGCAAAATTGAAGAGCCACATGCAGAAAAATGAAACTGAATCCTATCTCTCACTATACACAAAAATTAATTCAAGATGGATTAAAGATTTAAATGTAAGACTTAATACCATACAAATTCTAGAAGACAACTTATGAAAAACTCTTCTGGATATTGGCCTAGGCAAAGAATTTATAACTAAGACCCCCAAAGCAAGCACAACAACAACAACAACAACAAAAAATGAATGGGATTCAAACTAAAGTTTCCATACAGAAAAGAAACAATCAATAGAGTGCATAGACAACCTACAGAATGGAAGAACACATCTGCAAACTATATATCCAGTTAAGGACTAATATTTTCAGAATCTATAAGGGACTCAAAAAAATCAGTAAGAAAAAACAAATAACTCCCTTAAGAAGTGGGGAAAAGATATAAACAGACTTTTTTCAAAATAAGATATATAAATGGCCAAGAAAAATGAAAAAAATGTTCAATAACACACTAATCATCAGGGAAATGCAAATTAAAATGACAATAAGATACCACCTTACCCCTGTAAGAATGACCATTAATAAAAAGTCAAAAAACGATAGCTGTTGGTGCAGATGTGGAAATAGAATGCTTATACACTGTCGGTGGGAATGTAAGTTATTAGTATAACCTCTATGGAAAACAATATGGCAACTTCTGAAAGAACTAAAACCAGATCTACCATTTGATCTAGCAATCTCACTACTGGTATCTATCCAAAGGAAAAGAAGTCATTATAGCAAAAGGACACATGCATCCATACATTTACTGCAGCACAATTCATAATTGTAAAGATGCCCAATCAACCTAAGTGCCCATCAATTGATGAGGGCATAAAGACAATGTGGCCTATACAAAGCATAGAATACAACCAAGCCATGAAGAAGAATGATGTCTTCTGCAGCAACGTGGATGGAATTGGAAGCCATTATCCTAAGTGAAGTATCTTGGCATGGATAACAAATACCACAGGTACTCATTTATAAATGGGAGCTAAATGATGGGTACACATGGTTATACAGGGTGGTAAAATAGACTTCAGAGACTCAGAAATGGGGAAGTTGCAGGGTCAGGAGGTGCGAATGATCAAAAATTACCTATTAGGTACAATGTATACCATTCTGGTGATGGGTATGTGAAAAGCCCTGACTTCACCACTACATGATTCAACAAAACAACAACAAAAGGAAAACCAAAACCACTTGTACCCACTATAAGTCTATTGAAATAAAAACAAAGAAAACTTTGTGACTCAGTTTTCTATCTGTAAAATGGAGATAATCAAGGTACTTAGACACATCATAGAATTATAAGGACATAATGAGTTAATACTAGCACATAGTGTTTGTTAAAAAGTTGAATATTAGGGTGGTGCCTGTGGCTCAAAGGAGTAGTGTGCTGGCCCATATACCAGAGGTGGTGAGTTCAAACCCAGCCCTGGCCAAAAACTGCAAAAAAAAAAAAAAAAAAAAAGTAGAATATTATATAAAGAACTGAGATGTGAAGCAGCTATATGTTTTAATCAATTGAGTTAGCAAAAATTAGCACTCATATGTTTCTAG